TACCTCCATGGCTGTTGTCACCAAACCTGTGTAGCAGGAGAGTCTGGGTTAGACAGCAGAGGGGACTAGAAGTTTAGGGCTTGAGCTTTCACAGCAAGAAGGTCTGGGTTTGACCACTGGGAGGCCTGGAAGGCTAGGATGAAGTGTGGAAGCTGCGCCAGCAAGAGGGATCTGGATTTGATTCCAAGGAAAACTAGAGATTTAGAGCAGCCCCTATGCCAGCTGCTGATAGGGGCTGGACCTACAACTCCCAGGAGGACTGGAGGTGTGGCGTGAAGTGTGGAACTTGGGTTAGTGAGAGCTCTGGGTTAGACTAAAGGTGGTCTGCTGTAAGGGATCAAGTGTGGCCCTCCCAGCAGCAAGAGAGCTCCAAGTCAGATCATGGTCAGAATTGGAAGTCGGGGTTCACATGTGGGTCCCAGAGCAGGAGTGCCAGGGGCAGGCCCTACTTGTGAACACATGTCAACTCTGTGCCTCCCATGCCATACCAGGTGTGTCCACTGGAGCGCCGCAAGTACATGCTCAAGTCATTGGACCAGATCGAGACAGTGAATGGTGGTGGAGCAGCCAGTCGGCTGAGCTACTCGGACCGGGAGGTAATGGCCGAGCATGCTGACCTCAAGAGCATGGTAGAGCTGATCAAGCGCATGCTGACATGGGAGTCGCATGAACGCATCAGCCCCAGCGCGGCCCTGCGCCACCCCTTCGTGTCCATGCAGCAGCTGCGCAGCGCCCACGAGACCACTCACTACTACCAGCTCTCTCTGCATGGCTGCCGCCTCTCGCTGCAGGTGGAGAGCAAGCCACCCACACCCGTTGTGACTGCCACAGAAGATGGGCCCCCTTACTACCGTCTGGCTGAGGAAGAGGAGGCCATGGGCATAGGCAGTGTGGCAGGCAGTGGGCCCTTCTTCCAAGAGGAGAAGGTGCCAGGCATGCAAAGAGCCATCGACCAGCTGGATGACCTGAGTCTGCAGGAGACAGGCCATGGACTGTGGGGTGAGACTCGCGCTGATGTGGCCTCCAACACGCTGGCACCGCTCAAGGCAGCCACTTCTGGCCTCCGGGTACCCAACCTGGGCCCTGAGCCCATTCTGGCTTTCTATGGCAGCCGCCTGTCTGGCCACTACAAGGCCCGCAAGCCACCCTCAGGCTCCAAGTCTGACTCCAACTTCAGCAACCTCATCCGGCTGAGCCAGGCCTCACCTGAGGATGATGGGCCCCGCCGGGGCAGTGGCTGGGAGGAAGGAGAGCGCTGCAGGGCCTCTGCTGAGCCGCCTGCCATCCCACAGCGGGACGGGGATGGGCCCAACATCAAGGATATGACCATGGACACTGAGGTAAGCCGGATGGGTGGGCAGGGTGCAGGGGGTGTTGGGATCAGGGCCTCCCCTAGCACTCACTTCAGG